ATTCCAGAACAGCATCCACAGATAAGAGTAAGCTTTCTCAGTTGCCGGCACAGATGGCGATGGATGCGGGGGAGACGCAAGCCATCGTGGGTTCTCCGCAAAATTGGCATGAGCCCGAGGCGGAAAAGGTAGTATTCTGCCCGTTATTCACCAGGGCACGAGGCAGACGCGTGCGTGCGACGTTTGGGGAAGCCATCATCATCTGATACAACTGGGGCCCTTGAACGAGGATGCAGAGTTTTGTGAGGGTAAAAGAAGGGTAAAAAAGGGGTAATAGTGTGGATATTGTGACATACGATAATAGTGTGTGGACGCAGTGAACGGACCAAATGGGGCGGATGCTCGTCGGGGGTGTGCTCATCAGCATGGCCAAAGATACGTGCGTCTTTTTTTGTTGCTCAGGGTCGAGTCAGTATCCAAAATCCGTGATCGGCGGCCTGAATTCTGGCACCAGATGCTTTGAACAGCACTACCTGATCCCGTTCCTGAGAATGGCTTGTCTTTTTTCCTTTGTGATGGATGTCGTCGGGCCAAGAAGTGAGGCTCTTCGCCATCAAACAGGGCCAAGGTGCGAGCTTCCCGATCAGGCTCACTTGGGGGCTTGGATCTTCGAACAGGTGCCCTCCCATAGGCTGCCCTGGATCTGTTCGGCCCCTAGTAACCAGTGCCGAAATCCCGTAAGCTGTACGTAATTAGTGCCCCACGACTCCGAACCACTCCGACGCTGTCGATGCTTGGGGACTAGCTCTAATGGAGGTCTCACAATTCAGAAGCCTTCTAGAAGATTATGAACCACGGTTTTCCTCTTTCGTTGGTGCAAACCCTGCTGGTGTCGGACGCGTCGGGTACAGGGGGGCTGGAGGGTCAAAAGAGGATCCCGCTCGCTGTCATGTCTTGGCGTCATCAGGTCGTACCACTCGTGTCTCTCGCTTTTGCAATGTATGACATTTTTTTTTTTTTTTGGGGGGTAAGATGGCACCCCAAAAAGGGGAAGAGCGCGGTACAACAAATCACCCGCATATTACCCCCCTATAACAGCCGAATGTTCCCCTGGAGATTTCGGAAGCAGGGGAAATACCCCCGTCAGAAATTCAAGATCTACCAACTCTCATCGTTGTTGTGGTGCCCTGACCCACCAAAATGTTTAATCTTCAAAAACCGTCATCGAGAACCGGTTCAATTAGACCAGGTTTGACAAGCGCGAGTGGCATCTGGTCG